GGCGTGTGCGGGGCGTGTGCGGGGCGTGTGCGGGGCGTGTGCGGGGGGCGGCCGTGGAGGTGGGACGCCGGCAGGTGCGCCGCGGCCCCTCCCCCGAGGCTCAAACCTGCTTTGGTCCTGGCCTGTGGGAAAGGCCGTGTTTTGAACTTGCGCTACTTTCTCTAATCTGGGTGGTGACGCCCTTTCAGCTCGTTTATTTGAAAATCACCGGGACGCTGTTTCCAGCCTCCGACTTCCGGCACCCCGTGGTGACGCCCGCGCTCGTGTGCATGAGCCAGCTGCTCACCAAGGTAAGTCCGTGGCGGCCGAGCGAGGCTGAGGGGCGTCGCGCTTGCGGCCCGAGTGCAGGAGAGGCTCAAGGAAGGGGCCTGTGAAGACGACCCTGGAGATGGCCCAGGCGAGGTTATGGAAGGTGTGACACCAAAGAAGAGCCCTTGGAGTCAGTGGTGACGCACCAAGTGTGACATGGGCCCCGATCCCCTTTCGGCTTAAGCCCGAGTGGTCGTGTTTCCTGGGCCGGCGTCTGGTGCACACTCGGTGGCAGGATTGCCACACGGGGCCTTCGCGAAAGGGGCGGAGCCCCGGGGCCTTGACGCCTTGGCCCCGTTTAATCCCACTCGGCCCTGCTGCGGGGAGGGGCGGTGCTTCCTCCGTGCGGGGGGGGCGGGGGGGCGGGGTCTGGGGCCACAGGCCTCAGCTGGGACGCCAGCCAGGGCAGCTGGCGCAGCCTTCCGGAACGTTCTTCTGACCCCTGACCGCACCCTGTGGTCCTGTGCCAGTGCCCCGTCCTGTCTCTCCAAGACGTGGTGAAGGGCCTGTTCGTGTGCTGCGTGTTCCTGGATTACGTGTCTCTGTCGCGGAGGTTCATCCCTGAGCTCATTAATTTCCTCCTCGGGATCCTTTACGTCGCGACTCCAAACAAGCATGGCCACGGTGAGTGGGTCGGCCGTGTTCTACTTCAGCGTTGCTTTAAAAGTCGTCCGTGCTCCTTGTGGAGAGTGTGGGACGTGGAAAGTGAGACATCAAACCCCGCCGTCCAGAGCGACGGCCTCTCCTCTGTGCGGCTGGGCGGACACCCCTGCACCCAAGGGAACCGGGGCCCCACTCTTGCCGCCACCACGGCCACACGCAGTGACTCCCATCTGTGGCGTGGACCCCAGATGACTGAGCTGTCAGAAGCTCATGAAACAGCTCAGTTCTTTCATGTTGATTCTGTGTTGAAATAACATTTTTATAGGTGGGGTTAGACGAATGTATCATTAAGATCTTTTTTTCCTGTGCCCCAAGAACGTTTGCGCTCCCTCCGTGTGGCCCACGTTGTTTCTAGCGCGCAGCCCTGTCTCTAGTTTCTAGAGTGCCGGGAATCCTGGAAGGAGTGACCATCAGAAGGCACGTTGTAACGAGAAGCAGTTCTAGCGTCTGTTGACCTGCTAGGCTGTGCCGGTCTTAAGACCCCCCCCCCCCCCCCAGAAACACCCGCGATGCTGACCACTCACTGCTCCCCCGGGTTGTCGAGGTGCCGCCCAGTCTCTGCCCCTCGCTCCGTGTCCTTAGGCTCCCCTCTCCTGCCCCGATCGATCGTCCGTCGTATCTCTGATCCAATGCCACCACGTAGGATGCCCGTCGTACGGAGCACCTCACCAGTGCCAGGGGGGGCACTTCAGCCCCAGCAGCTCCTCCGTTCAGGACCCTCGGCACACTGTCCTGCTTCCCCTGCGTGCAGCTGCTGCGCCCGGCCTGCACTGACCCCCTCGCCGCAGACTCCCGTGCGCCGGGCCTGGGCCTGGGGAGGCACAGTCTGGCCGGGGGGCCTGTCAAAGTGGACGCTGCGGTGGGGGCGGGCGGCGGCCCCTCTCCCTTCGCCCTGCCACCGCCAACTGCTGTGCCAGGCGTCCGCCAGGCCGGCCGGGCCCACTGCCTCGATTGCTCTTCTGGGTGGTGACGGGGTTAAGTCCACTCCGCTGGCGTTCATCCTCCGGGACAGGCCTTCTCTGACCTTAGTTTACTAGGTTCCCTGTGCCACCTGCACCCACTCTCCCCCCGCCCTGCGTCTCTGGCCCACCACATCTCTTTCTGATGCTCCATCCAGTTAACTCTGTCTTCCGGGCGTTGTCTACTGCCTGTCTCCCCCTCGCGGTCAGGGACCTGGGCTGTTCCCTCCGTCACCCCTGCGGAGGCTGTAACTCCACCTCTGTGGGGTGAACACAGACTGCGTGTGTCCAGGGTGACCCTTCTAACTGCGTCACCATGCAGAGCCTGCCCTGTGACCTCGTGATGCTCAGAGGCCACCTCTGTCCTTGTCCCGCTTGGACTTCAGGTTACACTCTGGTGCACCCTTTCAGAGCATCTGGGAAGAACTCGGAGTTGCTCGTGGTTTCTGACCAAGAGGACACAGCCACATGGCAGAGGAGAGGCCTGTCCCTCGGCTGGGCCGGTGGACTGAAGGGCCAGACTAAGACAGAGGCCAACCACACCAGGTAGGCGGGGGGCTTGGGGCGCCAGGGAGGGCGTGCTCAGTGCCGGGCCAGCCTGGAACCAGACACAGCTGGGACCCGTGAGGACGCATCCAGTGTCACTCCGCAGATGGTACGATCTTATATGAGGGAAATCCTAAAGACTCTACAAAAGAGCTGTTAGATCTCATAAACTAATTCAGTGAAGTAGCAGAATACAAAGTCAACAAAAAATCACTTGCGTTTCTATATGCACTGAACAATTGAAAAGGAAATTAAAAAATTCCGTTTACAACAGCATCAAAAAGAATAGAACATGGGAATTGAAAACCAAGGAGGGAAGGATAATTGAGACAAAACATCGTGGACGCTGTTAAGGAAGACAAAGTGCAAGAAAACAGCTCATGTTCGTGGATCTGAGAACTCCCCTCCAGACACCATCACACTGGGGATTGGGTTTCAGCATGTGAACTGGGGGGACACACACATTCAGTGCACAGGAGGGCTGGGGCTTTTTATTTATTTTTTTTTTTTTTTAAGATTTTATTTATTTATTTGAGAGAGAGAATGAGAGACAGAGAGCACGAGAGGGAGGAGGGTCAGAGGGAGAAGCAGACTCCCCGCCGAGCAGGGAGCCCGATGTGGGGCTCGATCCCGGGACTCCAGGATCATGACCTGAGCCGAAGGCAGTCGCTTAACCAACTGAGCCACCCAGGCGCCCTGGGGCTTTTTATTAGACGTCCTTCTGTTCTCTGATTTTTTAAAAGTATGGATTTGAAATATCCTTTTGTTGTAAAATACACAACAGAAAGTTTACTGTCTTCATCAGTGAGGCCAACAGTTGAGTGGAATTCAGTACGTTTACATCCTGGTACAGCCACCACCTCCTTTCACCCCCAGAAGTCCCCATTTGTAAGACAAGTTGTGTACCCACCACACATTCACTCCCCAGCCCTGGCGCCCCACCCTGCCAATCTGCCTTGTCTGCAGCATCTGGCTCCTCCGGGGACCTCCTAGAAGTGGGGTCACAGTGTCTGTCCTCTCTGGCTCGCATATTTCACTTTATAGCATCATGTCCTCCAAGTGCATCCACGTGGTGGCAGGTGTCAGAATGTCCTTCCTGTTTAAGGCTGGATAACATTCCATCGTGTGGATGGACTACGTTTTGTTCATCCATCTGTCCACCCGTCCACGGACACTGGGGTGCTTCCCTGTCTCAGCTGCTGTGCATGATGCTGCCGTGAACATGGGGGTGCCGGCATCTCATCGAGGCCCTTCTGTTAATTCTTTTGGGTATATACGTAGAAGCAGAATTGCTGGGTCGTACAGTAGTTTTAGGTTTCGTGGTTTTGAGGACCCCCCCCCCCACTGTTGAATCCCTGCCAGTTTCTCCGTGTCCTCCCAGCATTTATTTTTTTAACAGTAGCCATTCTCCTGGGTAAGAGGTGTTAACTCCATGTGGTTTTGATTGGCATTTCCCTGAAGAGGAGTGCTGCTGAGCATCTGGCCATCTGCAGGTCTTCCCCGGGAAATGTCTGGGCAGGTCCGTGAAAAGAGAAAAAACTTTCCCAGAACGTGTATTATTTTTCAAGATAATGTCGGCTTGATTTTGCAAATAGTCATTTAAAAACTAAAGTGGAGCCACTCATTTTCAAGTTGCTGCTGCATTTCCCACAGTGACCCTCTGTGCTCAGGGACACGGGGCATCTGTCCCACCCGCTGCCACGCTGGACGTGGACTCCAGCCCCTGTTGGGTTTTTCAGAGCTGTGGGTTGGAGATTTTAGTTTTTGCCGAGAGGATGGACACTGGCAGTGACCGAACCGAATGAGCTGGACCCCTTCCTGCCTCTGGCCCTGAAGCTGGGTGTTGCCCCCTTGCAGACTGTCCTGCCTGGCCGTGTGTCTGGCCTTGGTGAAGCGCTGCGTGCTACTCTACGGCCCACTGCCGTCCTTCCAGACCATCATGAGGCCGCTCGGAGCCCTGCTGACGGAGCACCTGGCCGACGGCAGTCGCCCCCCGGAGCTCCAGGTGAGGCCTCCCACCATGCGGCCCTCTGCGCAGGCTCGGCCGCCTCTGTGAGAGGCAGCAGGCTAGTGGGCGAGCTTGTCTAGAGGTGCAGCTCTAGAAACAGCCCTGGGAAATGACAGTAGTGGGATGACTTAGGAGAAGTGACCGTTCTCCTGCACGGGGTCTTGCTCGGTGCCCGTGGTGTGCCCCCTCCCCCCAGCCGCCGGGGCTACAGTGAAGGCGCTCCCGTGTGTGTCCATAGGGGTGGGTCACTCAGGCCCATTGTGACCAGTTTCTCTGGGGAAGGAGATTCCATGGTGTCTGCTGGATGCCCAAGCACTCCTGAGTGCCCAGGGAACCTTCTAGAAGGGTCTCAGGCGTCTGTTGTCCTGCCAGCGGGAAGGGTGCACAAGGCTGTGAGCTGTCCCACGCGCAGGCCCCCCACCCCTGTCCGCACGGCGGTGGGGCTCCCTCGGCTGTGCCCCCGTTTAGCAGAGGCGGCCCTGGGCCCCAGGCCCCATGCCGGGCGAGCCTGCTGCAGCCTCAGCGTGCCCCGGGTTTCAGGAGCTGTGCCGGAGCGCGCTGGCCGACGTGGAAAAGCACGAGCAGTGCTGCCGGCCGCTGGTGTGTGAGAAGAGCAAGCCGCTGCCGCTGAAGCTCTTCACCCCCCGGCTGGTCAGAGTGTGCGTGTCGGGGTCGGGCGGCGGGGGTGGGGGCGGGGAGGCGGGCGGGCTGGACCTGACACGGCTTTCCCCCTCAGCCTCGAGTTCGGGAAGAAGCAGGGAAGCAGCAAGGAGGAACAGGAGAGAAAGAGACTGATCCACAAACACAAGCGTGAATTTAAAGGAGCCGTCCGGGAGATCCGTAGGGACAATCAGTTCCTGGCTCGAATGCAGCTCTCGGAGACCCTGGAACGGTGAGCGGCGGTGGTGGCCGGGGCTGCCGGGGGGTCGGGCCGGGTCCCCGTGAGTGACTGCCGGCCCCGGGGCCTGGGCAGGCGCGTTTCCTGCCGCTCCGTGTGCGCTGGCCCGCGTGGATGCGAGCTGCTACTGGGTCACGTAGGGAAAAGGGCAAAAGCTGATGTAAAAATGGGGTTTTTTCTTTTTTTTTTTTTTAAGGGATGCGGAAAGAAAGCGGAAAGTGAAACAGCTTTTTAACAGCCTGGCCACACAGGAAGGTGAATGGAAGGCTCTGAAGAGGAAAAAGTTCAAAAAATAGTTTCCCAGACAGGGCAGGGAGGTGCTGTGCACTGAACGTAATAAAGGCCGCCTTCCCGTGCGCCCGGGCTCCTCCCTGCGCTCCGGCCCCTGGGCCTCCGGGGGAGCCAGGCCTCGCCAGCGAGCGGGGGCTTCTGCTCCATCCCCTGCAGACGCGCCCCCCTTAATCACAAGGTTTGGGACTGAGGGCGAGGATGCGTTCTGCTCGGTACCATCCGATGAGGCAGGCAACGTGGGGCCCAGCGCGGAGGCCCAGCCCTCCCCGGGCTGGCGCTGGAGGCCGACGTCACACAGCCTGCGGCGCACTGACCGGCCCTGCATGGTGGCCCCGGTGCCCAAGCAGCCGGTCCCTGAGGTCACACAGCCAGCCATAGCAGTGACTGCAGAGGGATCGGAGGCCTGGCCAGAATGGATGTGGGGGCCAAGGGACAGGGTGACCTGACGGTGGTGGGGAGAACAGGGACTTTGATCTCGGACAAGTTGGGGGGTGTTGGAAGTCAGGACGCGGAGCATGGGGCCAGTGTCCCTGCGGGCGCGTGGAACTCAAGCCATGCTTGCCCAGATTAGCCTTGGGCTTGGGCGTGAGACGCGGGAACACTCAGCCAGCCTCCCCTAGGCTCGTCGGAGACCCACTTGCCTGGTGTGTGGCTCCCCAAATCCACAGGCCCTGTCACACCCTCTCGGCTGGGGAGGCCTGGCCTGCTGATCCCACACAGCCTTTGCCGTTACACAGCTGTTGCTACTTTAATTCCCCAAGTCCCTGGACCCAGGACTCTCGCCCGACCGCCCCAGGAAAGGGAGACCAAGTCAGGTGCTGGGCTTTTGGGCGGAGGCCTTGCTCGTCAGTCCCATGGGGATGGAATGTGCCCACCACTAGCCCATAATGCCCCAGCTCTGGATCACGTATCACTGGAACATACCCCACTCTGCCCACCCTGGGCCTCTCCCCAACCCCACTCCAGACGTAATTCTTGGAAATACATCTGTGCGGCTGGTCCATCACAGCCCTGCCTCCATCCCTTGCAGAGGGGAGTATATAGAATGATGGAAGAAGGTATGAAACCCAGCTGGGACCCACCTGGCCCAGGAGGAGGGCTGTCCTGAGCAGTTCTGATGAATTCTGCATACGTATTCCCAGCTCTGCCCTTCTGCCGCCACCCCCACCATCTAAGGACGTTAACGGGGCCGGGGCCAAAGCCTCAGGCGTGGAGGCCACAGGCTACCGAAGGGACAGCATGGCTCAGCTGGAAGAAAATGAACATGACCCAGACCCGTCCTTTGGAGAAAGCTGACTGGTTTGGGTTAGAGGTAGACTCCTTGCCTCGATCAGGCAGAGTGTGACTGCGATTATCTTTATTTGGGATTTTAATATGGTGTAAAGAGGGGGTATGCGTGCCAAGTTGACAAGGTGGGCTGTGGACACACACCAACATGGAAACCTAACCACATTTACCAAACTTGCCGTTACTTTCTGGTTAAGGTTGGCCAGAGTCTCAGGAACCTTGGAAGCCAGGAGGTGGGAGGGAGGAGGGCAGAGATGCGGAGGTGAGGAGGGAGAGCAGGAGGGGGGCGGGGGGGGCGGGAGGAAGGAGGAGGGAGGAGGTGAGGGCCTCCGCGGCCCGGGGCCAGGCCGGCGGCAGGAGAGGCCAGCGGGGGGCCCCCTACCCCTCACCCACCTGCCCCGGGGCCCAAGTGTGTGCGGTCCCAGCCGCGCGCCGGCATGTCGGAGGCGCCCGCTGGCCGGAGGGGGTCGGGGCTGGCCCGCATCACCCGGCCTCCAGGGCGCAGCGCCCCGCACCACCTGGGCTCCGCGAGTGCGCCTGGACGGCGGGAAGGGACTCTGGCGCCCGCGTGCGCTGACGGCCCTGCAGGAAGAGGGCCCGCGGTTCCCCAAGACCAGCCTGCACACAGCGACCGCCGGCCGGAAGAGGAAGCAGGCCTTCGTCCACACTTCCGGGGCGGGGAGGGGGCGTGGTCGGCGTGCGCCCCGCCCCTGGCAGCGGGCCGGGCCGTCCATTCCGCATCCGTCCATCTGTCCGTGTGTCCGTGTCCGTCCGTCCAACCCGAGCGCGCGGCCGCGGCAAGTGCAGGGCGGGGCAGCCCCAGTGCGCGCCCCACTGCCCCGCCCAGGAGGCGAGCCGGGGCGGGGCGGGGTCCCGGGTGGGGGCCAGGTCTGGGATTCCGGGCGAGGCGGGGGGGGGGGGGCGGCGCGGAGATCGGGGGGCCGAGGTCCCGGGGGGCGGGTGGAGGCCGGGGTTCCGGCTCCTGGGAGGGGATCGTGTTCGGGCCGCAGGGACGCCGCCGGGGCCTCAGTTTCCCCGCCCGCTCCTCACGAGGACGTGGGGTGGCCGCGTGGGGTGGGATGGTGCCCGGGGCCGCGATGCCCCCATCCGGCCCCTGGCGACGGTTGGCATCAGTGGCTGCGGTTTCTTGGCGCAACCCCGCAGCCGCAGTTTCCTGCACCCGGGCTCGGGGGGAGGGCGCACAGAGGGACCCCTGTGGAGGGTAGGCATCCGGCGCTCAGGTACCCAGAGGTGGCCTCATGCAGACCTGCCACACTCTCAGCCAGGCGGGACCATGGGCTGGGGAGCCGGAGGGAGCTGCACCCCGCGCCCACCCATCCGCCAACAGACGGCGCAGGAGACGCGCGTGATCACTGTGGTCTTCCTCGGCCTCCTGCTGGACCTCCTGGCCTTCACTCTGCTCCTGCCCCTGCTGCCAGGGCTGCTGGAGAGCCACGGCCGTGCCCACGTGAGACCGCCCCCATGTCCCTGTCCAGAGGCGCGTGACTCCCCCCACGATGGCTGCCCACGCCCCCCACCCTTGTCACACTTCCGTGTTCCCCAGGACCCCCTGTATGGCTCGTGGCAGCGAGGCGTGGACTGGTTTGCCGCAGCGATCAGGATGCCAGCCGAGAAGAGGTACAACAGCGTCCTGTTCGGAGGTATGGCAACCCGCCCCGTGCTGGGCCCTGTGACCGGGTCTGGACTCCAGTCAACCCCAGTCCCTGTCCCCGCCTTCCTGCTGCTGGGCGCGGTCTGCCCCTCTCCAAGTGCAGCGTCCACTGGTGGTCAGGGCGCCTCAGCCGGAGGCCCAAGGCTTGGGAGTGCAGCGCCCACCCGGCGCGATCAGACCCTTGGGGACAGACTGAGTCGTGGTAACCAAAACCTCTGTCTCCTCCAGGTCTGATTGGCTCGGTCTTCTCCTTCCTGCAGTTCCTCTTGGCACCACTCACGGGGGCGGTCTCGGACTGTCTGGGGAGGCGCCCGGTGATGCTGCTATCCCTGGTACAGGGCGCCCGAGGCGTGGGAATGTGTGGCTTCCTCTCGCCCGCCCGGCAGCCCTCTGGGGAGAAAGGGGGTTGGCTGTGAGCCCCTCATTGCCCCCTGGGTGGGGTGCTTGAGCGGGTGGTGGTTCCCGTGGCCCAGCCAGGCTTTCCCAGAGCTGCCCCTGCCACCTGTGTGGACATCGGGAACGTAAGTGGACCTTGATGCTCCAGAACAGGGCCAGGCCCCCAAGGTGTTACCTGGGTGGGGTCGGCCCAACTCTGGGCCCCTCGTGGCCTCAGGTGACCATACCTGCCCTGTGTACCCCACCCTGAGGCAGGCAGGTCTGGCCACCTCGTATGCCGTGTGGGCTGCTTCGAGGAGCTTCGCAGCCTTCCTGGCCTCCAGGGTGATTGGGGGCATCAGCAAGGGGAACGTCAGCCTCTCCACGGCCATCGTAGCTGACCTGGGCACACCTTCCGCCCGCAGCCGAGGCATGGTGCGTGCAGGTGATGGAGGATGAGCAGCTGGGGATTCCTTGGCTGGGCCTTCCTGCGGGGCTCAGGTGGCTTTCTCCCCAGGCAGTCATCGGGGTGGCCTTCTCCCTGGGCTTCACCCTGGGCCCCATGCTGGGTGCCTCCCTGCCCGCGGAGACGGTACCCTGGCTCGCCCTGCTCTTCGCTGCCTCCGACCTGCTGTTTATTTTCTGCTTCCTGCCGGAGACCCTGCCCCCAGAGAAGCGGGTAAGGGGGGACCCGGGAAGAAACCAATGAGAGGTCCCGGGGCTGGGGGCTCAGTTCTGTGGGCGTGCAGGGATGCCAGGGGATGCCGGACTGTCCTCTCCTGGTGCCCCGGCCTCTAGGGCCCGGCAGGGGGACTGGAGGCCAGGGCAGGTTCAGGTCATGCCCCTCCCCAGCCTCCTGGCAGGCCCCTCCAGTCCTGCCCCCGCCCCAGGCACCCTCCATCACCCCCGGGTTCCGAGCCGCTGTGGATCTGCTCAGCCCCCTGGCCCTGCTCCGTTTCTCGGCCGTGGCCCGCGGCCAGGACCCACCTGCTGGAGACAGTAAGGAGCCACCCCCCTCTTGAGGGTGGGACCATGGCTTCCTCCAGCTGCCCAGGCCTCCCCCAGCTATCGTCAGCCCCTTCCCCACTGCTCCCCAGGACTTGGGAGCCTTCGCCGCCTGGGCCTGGTGTATTTCCTCTACCTCTTCCTGTTCTCGGGCCTGGAGTACACCCTGAGCTTCCTTGCCCATCAGCGCTTCCAGTTCAGCAGGTAGGCCCCTCGCAGGACCTGGCCTGGGAACTCCCTGCCGTCTCCCGAGCCTGACCCCCCCCCCGACTTCAGGGCTGACTCCCACCCTGGCTCGGCGGACCGTGGAGAACCGGCTGTCACCCTGGCTCCCTGGTTTGGCCACGGGGAGCAGGGGCGAGGCACTCACAGCTCCCCCGCTCCCAGCCTGCAGCAGGGAAAGATGTTTTTCTTCATCGGCCTCACCATGGCCACCGTGCAGGGTGCCTACGCGCGGAGGATCAGCCCTGGCGGGGAGATTGCAGCTGTGAAGCGGGTATGGGGCTCCTCCAAGGAAGTGGTGGGTAAGGGGGGCAGGCTGTGTCCTGAGCCCTGTGGAAACAGCAGGGGTGGGTCCTGAGCTCTGCTGTGCCCCCCCGCAGGCCATCCTGCTGCTCGTGCCCGCCTTCCTCCTCATCGGCTGGGGGCTCACGCTGCCTGTGCTGGGCTTGGGGTTGCTGCTGTACTCCTTCGGTGAGTGGGTCTTCCCAGGGCCAGGGCAGGAGCAGCAGGGAGCCGGGAGCCAGGAATCCTGGGTCACAGCCCTCCCTGGTGTCTCCCACCAGCTGCCGCAGTCGTGGTGCCCTGCCTGTCCTCTGTGGTTGCCAACTTTGGTAAGACGCCCTTCTGCTGCTGGAGGCCCCCCAGGTGGGAGGAGGCCTGCAGGCACCTGATGGCCTCCTCCCCTTCTCCCCCTAAGGCTCGCCCAGGCAGAAGGGCACGATCATGGGCACCCTGCGGAGCCTGGGCGCCCTGGCCAGGGCGGTGGGACCCATGGTGGCTGCCTCAGGTGAGGGCCCCGGGGCTGCCGGGCCAGGCCTGGGAGCTACTGGCCCGGTGGCGGGGGGGCGTGCTGCTGCCATCCTGGGGCCGAGGGGCGGCAGGGACAGGGTGGGCCTGCGTCACGGCTCAGGCTGTCTCTCCACAGTGTACTGGCTGGCGGGGGCCAGGGTCTGCTTCACCGTGTGCTCTGGCCTCTTCCTGCTCCCCCTCCTGCTCCTGTGGAATCTGAGGCCTCCAGCCCACGCACTCAAGGCCGAGTAGCTGAGCCAGCCCCGCCCCGAGCTGGGGGAGAGGAGGCCTGGGCCGGGGACCCGCCCTCCCCCTGGGCCCAGCCCAGGACAGCCCAGGGCCTGCAGCCCCAGAGGGCCCGAGACACAGCCCCTCCCTAGGTATGGACGGCCCTGTCAGGCTGGGGGCAGTGACTCCAAACCCTTCCAGGCTTTCTGTTGGCTTCTCTCTCAGTGACAGTGTCAGCCAGGCCTCTGAATGACAAAATAAAGCAGCTATTTTATATCCAGTGCCTCTCTCCAGTACACCGCCATGCCTCGCCACCCCCCACCCTCAGGCACCAGAAGCAGCAACTTAAGCTGAAGGCTCTAGAGCTGCACTGAGCAGAAGCGTCCCAGGCTCTTCCCGAGTCGGCTGTCATTCTGCACAAGACTGAGGACAGAACGTGGACGCAGGGCCCTCCAAGCCTGGGCTCGGCACATGCTGGGCCATACCCGGGCTGTGCCCTGCACCCTGGCCGACCAGGGAGGAGGGGCCCCTGTGCCAGAGTCTCCCCATCACACGTCCCGCCCCAGCCTGTGGCTAAAGGGTCCTCCCCAGTGCAAAGCAACAGTGATCAAGAAATAAATAAACACTTGGGGGGCGCCTGGGGGGCTCCGTCGGTTGAGCGTCCGACTCCTGATTTCAGCTCCAGTCATGATCTCAGGGTCACGGGATCTGCCCCTTTCGTGGGGCTCTGCGCTCAGGCCGGGGGAGGGGGGGAGGCTGCTAGAGAGTCTCTCCCCCTCTGCCCCTCCCCCCACACGCCCACACTGTGCCTCTCAAATAAATCTTAAAAAAAAAAAACAAAACAAAACTTGGGGATCTCTTTTTGGGATTAAAGGAGCAAAGGGAAGGAATTGAAGTGCAAAACTGCTTCCCAAGTTTAGACAAGGAAACTGCTTCAAGAATTTTATTTGTGAAGAAAACATGTTACAGTGAAGGACGCAGGACCCATCCTCCCAAGCCTGTGTCCATATATACGACTAAACCTCATGTTGTGATACAAAGAGTTAAAATAAACTACAAAAGTGAAATGAAAGTCATTGCGTATGTGCGACAAAAGGAAGGGCTAGAATCGGTGGTTAACTGAAGGACGGGGCGAGGGCAGAGAACCCGAACACCACAGAGGCAACAAAACGATACACTGGAGAAAGCACATCTCCAGAAGCTCGAAGCAGCGGCCAGCGCCATGCAGCCGGCCTCAGGTCCTGCTTGGGGTCAGGAGTGTGGGACCCTAGCCCGGCTCTGGCACCAGGTCCACCAGGGGCCCCTCCCCGCTTCTGGGGAGGAGGCGAGCCGGCACCCAGCCAGGCCGGCACCGGGCGGCCCCTGGAATGGGTCCCCCACTAGTTCCTGCTAAGCAGCTGCACGTGATTTTTCAGGAATCTCAATGAAAATTTACGATGTCCCAGAAGGAAAGCCAGGCCTGGCTCCACAAAAGACGAGTGTGAAAAGTGAGGGAGGGACCGCTGGGTCCCCTTCTACCTTGAGCTACCTTTTACCAAAACCGGGTACCTTTCAGGCTGAGTTAAAGTAAGAGGCGATCCCTCCCAGTTCCAAACCCTCCCGTACAGCGAGCCACGCTCTGCTGCACTGTGCGGAGGTAGAGCGAGAAAACTAAAGCAAAAAGTGGCCTGTTCCTGTTCATGGTCAAAGATGGAGGGTGAATTACAAACCTGCTGAAGGAAAATTCTAGAAAGGACTCTTCCCCCTCTTAATGTATCTTCTCTATGACAGTAATCTAGAGACCCCAGTAAGAAAGTGGGGGCCTCTGAACCCCGTTTCTGGCCTCAGGGCCATCAGACCATGCACAGGGCACATGGGGTGTACGCAGGCCCCTCTGCTGCTGGGTCCCCGGCTCTCAGAGGCCATCAGGGTGCCCGGGGCCGCCGGCAGGCACAGGAGTGCTCGCACAGGACTGAGGTTCTGTAGCTACAACCCAAGTGAGATCACGAAGCAGGTAATGCCAGCAGGAAGCTCCAAGTCTGATTCAGTCACCTGAGACGTGGGGGTGAAGAGGAGCCTAGCAGACACACAGCATGGGGGACTGCACGACAGGAGGAGAGGGAGGGCAAGGCCAGAGTCGCCAGGCCTCCAACTGTCCGGCCAGAACCAGGACGGACCGCCCCCGGGGGAGAGCGCGCCCGCGGGGTGCTAGCCCAGGCAGGGCGGGTGGAGGCAGAGGGGCCGCAGAGACGTGTCCCCCCCAGCCCTCGAGGCTGAGGCCCGCTGCAGGCGCACACGAGGTTAGCACCGGGCTACGTGGGGATTTGGTCACACCATGAGGGGAGCTCTAGCTATGAGGAGGGATGGGCTTTTTGCATTCCATGACACAGGAAGACAGGACACGAGACGCAATCGGGGGCAGTCTGGTGGCTTCGGTGTGTGCAGGACGGGCCTTCAGGAGTCACTCCTCTTCTTGCTCTTCTTCAGAAAGGAGGGGGTGCGGAATTTCTTCTTCTTCTTAGAAGGGGACTTGCCCGGAGACCCATCGCTGCCAGGGTCCACGGCAGCCCCCTCCTCTGCAGCTGGGGAGGTGGCCTCTTCTGCCACCTGGGCGGAGGCTGGCTCAGGGCTGGCCGCCACGGGGGACCTGGCGGGGCTGGGAGGCTCGTGGGCTTCACCGAGCCCCCCCCCCTCCTCCTCCTCCTCCAACGTGGGGAAGCCAAGCGCTTCTGAAGGCTCATCAGGGGACAGGTCAGGGAGAGTCGGCTTGAAGGTGGCAGCATCACTGTCCTCTCCAGAGGTGGGCTCCTGCGGCAGGTCTGGTGGGTGGGGGACGAGAGACAGTGCTGAAGAGCAGCCACCGGACCTGAGCGGGGCGCCCCGAGAGAGGCAGCGCCCGCACCAAGACGGCCACGGGGCTGGGCTCTAGGGGCTTTTACCGACACGAAAACAAGAAACTTTAAATCAGGTCTACTCTACTTCAAGGTTGGATGTGGCTCAGGGTACAAAATGAAGACGCAACCTCGCAGGGGGGTGGGGGTGGGGGGTTCAGCTCCTCCTCGTGGACAGTGTGCTGACAGACCCAGACGCCGTCCTGGGACCTCGGGCCCCAGTCAGAGAGCTGGGCGAGCTGACGGCACTGCACTAGGACCATGTTCCACGTTTAACACGCCAACAGTCTATTCTAGAACCCTAAGGGCACATATTAGTAGTCCTGAAATTAGGCCTAAATTTGGGTCCACAACACCTGGTCTCCCCCAAGAAGAAAACCATGGAAAACCATGGTTAACTCCCAGACCCCATGGGCACTATCAACATCAAACAAAACAAAGCCATTGTAGGCTGGAGAATGAAAGAAAAGAGAAGAACTGTAAGGTAAGGGACAGGGGCAAAAACCTGGCCAGCTTCAGCATTCGAACATGGGAACATGAAAGGGCAAAAGGTAACTCGCTGTAAAGACACAGCCCGAGGGTGGGTTTCTGGGGAAGGTCCCATCATCAAATCTCTATGCAGACTCTGACCGGGGGGAAACCAGTTTTGCAGAGTTTTATAACATCCTACAGAGTTACGAGCGACTTGCTGCTTAGGCAACACTAAACCATTTAGTACAGAGAAACCAAGGCCTGCGTCAGGGGGGACTCAGGGCTGAGTGTGGGTGAGGTGCAGCCGTGGGAGGCTCTGGGCCCCAAACACTTAGTGCTTCAGCTCTGGGAGGCTGGGGCCGCCCCAGCTGACCCCTGAGCCACCTTCTATCCCGGGACAATTAAATGTCCTTACTTAGGGGGACAGGAGGAAGTTAGCGTTCACCCTACAGAGCATGCAGAGGTGGCCTGTGGGTGCCTCCGGGAACTTTACCATGTGACCAGATGTCACATTAAATACAGCACCAGAGTCTCCTGCCCCATCCCCAATTACGCTTAAGTGCTCAGCTTAAGCCAAGATCCCAACAGAAGCGACCGGCATGCAGCACGAGGCAAAATCCTCCCCCTGCCTGAACCTAGTCTGATGTGTGTCTGATGCCGCCGAGCAATCACAAGCTGAGCAGGACCACAGGACGGCTCTGGAACTCCTGAAACCCACAGGGCCCTGAGCAGCACCGCCTCGGTCCCGGGGAGCCCCCAGGGCAGGCTGCCACCACCTAGCTCTCCGGCCACAGAGCCCTGCCAAGATGCCACTGCCTAGGTGGAAGGAACTGAGTACAAGAAAGGCGGAGTTGGGGGGGGGGGCAGGGACTCTATTTTTATTTTGAATAAACAGAGAACAGAACTTCGTAAGCAACAAAGAAGCAGGAGAATGAGGCAAAGCACAGGGACCACTGGTTAAACGGCAGAGGGCCAGACGAGGGCGGTACTTACTATGGTAACAGGTACTCTTTAGCACATCCAACTCCTGTTTGTAACGCAGCCACAGGAAGAGAAAAGCACAGGGAGAGAATCTAGGCATTCAGTCACAGCCACTGGGTTATAGAAGAAGAATGGCTGAGCCATTCTTGGGGACAAACGGGGGAGGAAGGCGAGCCACAGGCTCCCCACAGGCACGGGAAGCACGACATGTAGGACCAAGGGACAGACACGCAGTGGGTGGTCTGAGAGGCCAGTGGAGGCCAGCACTCTGCATGGACTGACTACGACGGCAGGTCACACAAGGTCCTGCAGCCCAGACACAATGGAAGATGTTTCCAGAGGGGTGATCTGGACACAGTAAGGTTTGAGAAATGCGTAAGCAGTGGGCAAAACTGACATCATAAACGAAGGTGGGATCCGATCCCCCAAGTCTGTCCTCCCACTTTGTCCTGATGTCTCACTACGAAATGTGTTGCCTTGAGTGACCCAGGACAGAACCAAAACAGGAGCAAGGGAGGCGGGCCAGTTCAGAACCATGTGTCGTGCTGGCTTCCACACAAATGCTCGCTCCTTCACCACTGTCCGTTCAGCTACTGACACCCGGGTGCTCTCCCTCCACTGGACAGGACATGAAATCCACCTCTCATGGCGGACATCGGACCACAGAAGGCCATGCACCCTCCCACAGCAGGGCAGCCACATGCTCACGTCCACCCCAGAGCTCACCTTCCTCAAGCTTGACAGGGGTGCTGGGGGGGGTGTGGGGGGCAGCAGGGGGCTCTGGAGGACTCTTTTCTTTCTGTTCTCTGGTCTCGTCCAGATTCTCTGCAGACGGACAGAAAGTGAGAAGCACACGGTAAAGAGCTTCAGACATCGTGAGCCTTCACCCTCCTAAAAGGCAGGCAGGTCCTCCTGCCCTGCCCATCCGGCTGCCTTGAGGGGGAGAGCTGAAGC